CCGGGAGGGCCATAGTGTCACGAGGAGGGGCTAGAAAGGTACCAGGATGGGGTGAGTGCCCACCTCCTAGAAACCTAGGGGGGTGATACCTCCTCCTCCTCCAGTTAGAATGGAGCCTTGCATCCAGACTTGATTTTCAGGACACACATTCTGGAGTGGGATATGACATCCATTGCCACAGAGAGCCTCTGCTGTGCTTTCTCTCCTCTGTGGCTTGGAATGCATTCCAAACTGCCCCGAAGTACAGACTTCATGCCTTTGTGGGCCATCTTCTGGAATTTTCTCCTTCAGCTCCTCCCCTTTCTGAAATCCAAACCGCCTCCCTCCAGCTTTAAGGACCACATCAAAATGAAAGCTTTACACTTGGAATTCCCAGTGACATAGACACCCAAGATGATGGAGGTGTGTCTCTAGGAGAGGCCTTCCATGACACACGGTTGGGCAGCTGTTGAATGGGTAGGCCTTACACCTTCAGATATGAGAGCATCCCTGGGTCGCCAAGACCTTGGGCCCACCCTGGGCTCTTGTGAGGAGTCTGGTGGCTGTCTAGAGCATCTGAGGATGTTGCCGTGGTGCAGGTATACAGGGTTCTATGCAGCTCAGTTGAAAAGGGGAAGGAGGTAAAAGAAGGAGGGGTGCTAATGGGGAGTGACAACCCTGCATGGAAATGCTGGGTGAAACCTCAGAGCTCATCTAGTCAAAGCCCCTTATTTTACAGAGGGGGAAACTGAGGCACTGAGCTAGAACATGACTTATCCTTGGCCACGTGGCAAGATGGAGACAGAAGCAGAGCAGAAGTGTGTCTCCAAGAGCTTCAGCCCTGTGCTTTCTCCTCTTGTAGTACGCTGCCTTCTGAAATCAAATATAGAACCAGGAAGACATATCTTTCATATGGAATCTGTCATTAAAATGCTGCATTTATAAAAAATTACATTTGAATCCTGAAAAATACTTCATTAAAACACAACAAACTTCCTTGAAAATACTCCAGAGCAAAGTTTCCCAGGTTTGGGGAGGATGGTTGGGGCATGTTTGTGGGAGGTAACATATCCACTCTTCCCAGAACAGGTGCTTTCCAGGGTCCAGCTCATTGGTAACCCTTTCAGGTTAACTTGGGTCAAGTCCACAGCTGCCTGCGGGAGGAATGTGAGGACAGAAGGCTGGTGACAGACAAGGTATTTCTGAAGAAAATGGATTGAGTTTGGTGGCAGGGATACTGGATGGGATATTTCTCCAGGTTTGGAGAGTCATGAGGCTCTCAGATATTTTGAGGCAAAAGGGACCCGTAATACACATGAGCGGGTGGGCGTAAGGTGGAACAGTGATTGAGCGCCTCAAGGATGTGAATCTTTGGCCAGAGTAGGAGCCTCTGGGCTAGCGGCAGATTGGGACAGGGGCTTCCATGGACTTGCCACCAGCAGGACCAAACCTCATATTTTAACCATGACATTGCTATTAGGCAACTTCTCTCTCTTCCCTCCCAAAGGTCAGAGCAGTGAGTTCTTGGCTATGTGCCCTGGGGATCATTTCCTAGGGGCGGGAGGTGAAAGATTAAGCAGGAGATAAACAGAAGGAGTTAAACAGAAGATCTACGAATGTCTCACTCCTTATTTTCATCAAGAGTTCTGAGTTTTAGAACTAGAGACAATAGCAGGAACCAAGAAAAGAAATTAGGGATGGGGGAGATAAATGGAGAAAGACAGGGTCAGAGAGATGAAGGAGATACTGAACCAACATAGAAGACTGAACTGGCATAGAGGGCTGTAAAGAGGGAAGAAATCTGAATTAAGGGAACTTTCTAGGAGGCACGCCCATCAAGCAGGACAATGGGGAGTCCTCAGGGCTGAAGCCCGATTAGGGGATTAAAGGAATCCCTTCAAGTGAACTAGTTAAAGTCTTTGTGATTTAGAGCACGTAGAGCCAGGAGTTAACTAGAGGAAACAAGTCAGGACAGGTGGGGAGAATGAGGATTGTTAGAGCTTAATTGCCATCCAAGGCCATGGAGACCAGCAAGTCTCTTTGGGGTAAGAGAGAACCTGTGCAGACTCCAGTCCATTCCCATCAGAGCAATGGAGAATTGTACAAAGAACAAGACATGAAGAGGGAAATTGTGGGTTTCCTTCCCTTGCTGGGGAAGAGAGTTTTCTTTATGGGGGAGGGATGGACTATCTATAATATAGTAGAGGCCACCAGCCTGATGGGGCTGGAAGTCATGACCTCTGGGTTCCAGCCCCAGAACCTTCTCTTAGCTGCTACATGAACTTGTCTAGCAATGCAATTTTTTGCTTGTTTTATCCACATGGAACGAGACTACTGAATAGAAACAAGATGCCTCAATAGACCAGTTAAGAAACAATTTGATGGACTTTGAAATGAGGGATTAAACCAGAGCAGATTTGCAGGCTTCTCTCTCTTTTTCCTTATTCACTTCCTTCATTCTAGCTTTGCTCCCCCCTCCATTCTTCCCTTCCTTTCTTCCTCCCTTCCAAACCCAAGGGTGAAGCAGAAGAAATGATTTAAAGAAGGGTTCAGGGTTCAGGTAGAATTTTCTGATCTAACACTGAGATTATAAATGGACAGTCATTTTGGAATGCATCCAGCAACCTCCTGGGACAGACAGATAGAACTGGAAAGAAATGTCATCCTTGGGCTGGAAAAGTTGGGACCAAGAATATGCTTCTGACATGTTGGGATCAGCCTTCTGGTTCAGCATGTATATGTTTATATACACCTGGGTAGGAGATTCTCAAGAACCCATATCCTTTCCCCACCCCACCAGCAGGCATCCTTCAAGGGAACTAGTCTAGGGCTAGATTAGAGGGCACCAGGGTGAGGGATTAACTGAGAGATACACCTTTGTTTCTGGGAGTGTCCAACTTCTCTATTTAAATTGATTTCTTCTTCCCAACCTTCTTAGCCCTGCCTTCTGGAACAAACTCTCATAAACCCTTGGGAACCAGCCCTGGAGAAGGTTTATGCATTTATGGGGAAGGAAAGCAGAGTTAGCCCTGTCCTCACAGCCTCACAGTCCCAGTGACACATCTCTAATGTAGATGCTGAGAGCTGTGTTGATCATCCAGCCTTAATCCCCTCATGATTCATGTGATGCTTTTCTGTTTACCTGGGGAGGTCAGCCTTAGGGGAGATAAGAAGTTTGGAATTCTTCAATAAATAAGAAAAATCAGTCAATTGATTTCTTTGTGGATCATGGACTTTGTTTGATTAAAAATTCCTAGGGTTGACACTGGGAAGTTTTCTCAGCCTCTTACCTCCCTTTAAAAGGCCACACATGTTATCTGCAGAATCTAAAACCCCAGTTTAAGATCATTGCTTTTGGAGTCTGCCTGTGATGAGAATTACATTTTTAGTATCATAGTTTCATTTACTAGTCTGAAGCTGATTCCTCCAGCCTCAGCTAAGGGAGGTACTCTGGCTCTGAGAACAGGGGAGCCCTTTCTTTTCCCCCAGGCTCTGGCCTTGGGGGAGTGGATGTGGCTTCATTCACTGCTCTTCAGGAAGCCATCATAGTCTGCTCTTCAGGAAGCCATCATAGTCTGCCCACCCACCCCCCCAGAAATTCAGAGAAAGGGCTGAGATGGGGTTAGTTGGGGTAGCCCCCAATAGAGCTGATAACATGGATCTGCCTGGTCCTAGAGTGCCCTATGCAGGGGAAATTGGGGAGCTGCCCAGGAAGCCCCAGACCAATAGCCTGGAGTACCATTATTTGATTTTGCTAATGGGTCGCTGTCCCTTTGATCCAGAGTAGGCACTGGTCTGAAGAAGCAGCAGCCAGGAGAGAGGAATGGAGATTCAGAAGGACAGGAGGAGGGGCAAAGAGAAATAGGAGCTGGGGGTGGGGAGGAGAAGACAGAGAGAGAGCTAAGCAGAGAAGTTGAGCAGTGGGCAGTGACGATGGGACAGTGGAGCAAACAAGGTGTGGCATAACCACTTGAGTCCTCATTAATTGGGGGCTGACAGCCATCACTTTCTAGAAGCCTCAGTCCTGCCTGATGGGCATGGTGGGAGACAGAACCCTGGACAATGGGAATGGGGAGCCCCTGAGACCCAGGGCATCACAGTGGCACTCCCCACCCTCTGCTCTCTGGCCAGGGGCAGATGCCTCTAGGGAGCAGGGGAAGGGAAGTCAGGCTTGAGTGGCAGGTCATAATTCAGGCCTGGAGGCCTGAAAGAAGTGTGGAGATAATTAGGCTGGTGGAGAGGGCATCCCAAAATTTCCTGTACCCCATCGCTACTCTTCTCCAGGAAGGCTAGAGCAAAGCCCCAGAGAACTCAAGGGTGAAACATCTAGGGTTAGGGGAAGGGCCAGGGGGTCCTGTGGGTGGGGCAGCCAGCTGAACTGGGGTGGATGCCCACACATGGAGAGGCAGCAGGAGGGAGGGAACCCTTCCTAGTCTGGACTTGGGGGAGGAGTGCAGGGTTAGAGTGGGGTCAGCGCAGGGAGGGCCGCTCAGTGGGGACCAGAGATTTCCAGCAGGCAGAAGAGAATCATTATTGTGCTTATGGACACAGCAGCTCCCTGACTCAGAGAGCGAGCAGGCAGTTTGTAGGCACTAGAAGATTTCTGTGACGCGGTTCTAGGTAAATGAATGAGACCGAGTAGTGTATTCGGTCAGCCCACGGGCCACACCCGCTGGCCACTTCAAACCCAGGCAGCTTCTGACCAGGGTCAGAATAGGGTCTCGGCTGACAGAGCCTGCCGCTGAGTCCCCAGGAGTGGGAGAAGGGGCTTGAGACTGAAAGGGAGTTGATGATGGTGGAGGGGGTGAGACAGGGCCTAGCCCCTCTCCTCTCACCCTTTGACTCTTCTAGAAGAGTGAGAACAATCACTCTAGGTCCCAGGTCTGAGCATGCTGTGCCAGGTCACCGGGTTGGGTCCCCGGGAGTATGGCTTTCTGGGCTAAGGAGGCCCATCCCCACCTCCTACGGAGTGGACACGGGTGGGGAGATGTATAGAGCTAGAAGCTCTGCTCCAGGCCCATCTTGCCTCCTGCCCCATTGTGCCTGGAGCCCGCCCCGCCCGGTCAGTCACACGGTTACTTCGGTCTTGCTGGCTGTGTAGCAGGTGTGGTGGCCCGGGATATAGTGCAGCTGCTCCACCGTGTTGTGTCTGCGCGAGGCAAAGGCCTGGCGCTTGGCTGCCGTCTGGCTCTGGCCCAGGGTGGCATAGGAGTTATTGGAGGCACTGGGATGGGAGTGCATCTTGGTCATGCGGTAGCGGTCCAGCACGGGCGTGGACACAAAGACGTCCGTGTGCGAGATGGCCCGCGACAGGGACTGCTCAGGGAAGGCCGTCCGCTCCGGGGACAGCAGTGGGTCCTGGGAGTGCAGGCGCTCCGTGGAGAGCAGCTGCTCATCAGATAGGATGCGATCATAGGGCATGCCAAACTCATCCTGCAGGCCCCGCTCGGGGGACAGGACCCTGTCCTGGGACATGGCCCGGATGGGCCGGCGTGGGCGCTCTCGTGGCAGGGGCTTCTGCTGGGACATCTGGATGACATTGAGGGGGAGGGTTCCTCGGGCCGCCAGGTCAGGTAGGTGTCGCCTCCTCATGTAATATTCATCAGCCTCCTTGTCAGCTGCAAGGGGGACACAGAAAGAAGAGAGTTGAGGGGACACTGCATCCAGGACTAAGCTAAGAGGACTAAGCGAGATAGGTGGCAACAGGGCTCTTCCATGAATGTGCAAATCAGTCCCCAGAGGTTTTGTTAAATGCAGATTCTGAGTCAGACACCATGGCTTAGAGCTGGGCCATGAGTCTGCATCCTAACAAGCTCCCAGGCAATGCTAATGACACTGGTTCCTGGGCCACCTTGAGTATCCAGGGGTTATAGAACTTCCTGCAGGTTCCCAGGGGGCTCATGGTACAGTGGACAGCAAGTCAGTGCCCCAGCACTCGTGCTTCAGCTCCATTTCTTGCTTTTTCTAAAAAGATTTATTTATACAAGAACCGGGGTACAGATCAGAGGCACGGGAGGGTGAGAGAATTCACCAGAGACAGAGTGGGGAACAGAACAGGCAGACGGACCAAAGACACTGCTGAGGGGAGCAGTGGGTGAGGCAGGAGAGGTCTGCCGTGCCATGTGGGTATCTCTCTGGCTGGCCAGGAATTGAACCCACACTGCAGAGGCTGCGGACAGCTTCACAGGGCAGCCCTCAACCCGCTGTGCCACCAGTAAGACCCCTCCAGCCCTGTTTCTTGCACGCTGTGGTCTTGAAACAGAATGGCTCCCTGGGTCTTGCTCAGACACAGAGAAGCAACCTGCAGCTTTCAGATAAGGTCCGGAGTCTCTCCGAGGAGGCTGACTTGCACAATCAGCCTCCATTGGAATAAAGTAAGATGTTCCAACCAGTAGGCACTTGTGCAAATGTTTAGCTGGTAACTTAGGAACATAGTAACACCTTCTCTGGAGTAACAGCCAATGCATAAGAAGCCAACACATGGGCATCCAGCCCCCACACAACCACAGAATCAAGTCTTCACAAACTGTGCCTGTGCCCACAGCACGAGCAGGCTGGAACAATCCTATATGTGGACCTCATCAGATGTTCCCTCCTGCCTTCTGCACCCTGAATTTACCGAAGACTCATACAAGCTTTCTTTGCCTCGAGGTTCAGGAGTGAAGCCTCCTACAAACAACCAACCTTTAGATTCTTGCAAATTGTGGAACACTATTTCTCACTTTATCCACAGGGTCTCTGACAGGTAGATCCTACCTCCTGAGCCACACTCCCTTGTCATCTAGCCATAGAAAATCACCATTCCACCTTGGAGGTGGCTGATGTGAATTCATGGGCTGAACTTCCAGCAGGATAGGATGCCCCATGGCTTCAAGCAAATGCTCATCCCTGCAGTCAGATGGTCATCAAAACAGACATGCTGGGGAATAGGGGCAAGTGGGCCCGAGGGTCAGAAGGCCAGGTGAGAAGTGATCTTCCACCATGGCGTGTGCCTTCTTAACCTTGTAATGTCTTAAATTCATCAATCCTCAGGGCCTCCCCAGATGCAAATGGCAAAGCTGGGGTTATTAGGCAAACTGGATTTAACCGATGAAATGGGGTGTGTGTGTGTGTGTGTGTGTGTGTGCGCGCGCACACACACACACATGCACGGTGTGGAGTCTCATCCTTAAGATAGTGTTGGTAGGAGGCCAGTTATGGACACTTCAATCGAAGTGTCAGATCTCTGGGAGAGTTCTCACAGAGTAAGCTCTGAGGTTGTTAGCCTCTACTCCAAAATAAGAGGGCAAGAGGAAGGCTTATGTTTAGAGGATGGCAAGTGTAGGGCAGGGTTGGGGAGAGGCTTCCTTTCAGTTGAATTGAATTAAAGCACCATCTCCTGGGGAACACGGATCTGAGGACTCTAAAGAACAAGAACCCGGACCTGTTGATGTCTCCTTGCATGATCCACCTTGCTTTTTGTTCTTGGACTCCAGCAGGTCCCCTCAGGTGATTGATACACAGGCATTAATCATAGAGGTCCCAGAGGCAGACCCCAAACCTGGGAGAACCCCACTTACTTAGCCTTTTCAGGGATGAGTACTTGCTAGGGTGGGTCTTCACTGCAGACTCATAAGATGGCGGCAGGTGAGCCAAGTTCTGGAAGGAGCGTGAGAAGGAGAGGTCATAGGGCTCGGTGGCAGATGTCAGGATGTTGTTCATCCGTGGTTTCTCTGCAAGAAAATAGAGGGGTGCATTAGTGAGGACAAAGTCTGGGGCAAGCAGGGCAGAAGGGTCCAGGTTATAGCCCCTTGCTTTCTGACTCATCTGAATCTTGTTTCCCTGGCCCCCGGTGTTAGGACACTGATGGGGTTGATGACTCAGTTTACCACACTCTTATTTCCAGATGTCAATGAGCCTTGATACAGGCATTGTCTTATTGTGGTCACACATTGTGTGGACACAATGACAGTTTACTCTTCCTTGAATGCCAGACTTGACTCTTTCTCCTGGTACATCCTGGCTTGTCTGATGAAAATGTAAGCCTGAGGGTGTCATAAAAACCTTTACTTTGATGGGAGGGTTTTGGTCTTTCCCTATTAGCTTTAGACAAACCTAGCTCTAAAGTTTAGAAAAATCTGGGTTTGAAGGTGGAGTGATGGGTCCTGTCTACATACCCACAGAAGAACTGGGTATAGGACCTGGCTTTACTGAGGCTCAACTCACACCAGCCATGATGTCAGTTTACCTCTCACATTGCCTACTTCACCTGGGGCCTCTCTAAGCCATACCCTTGACAAGTCCCTGAGCCATTTCCTCTTATTTCAGCTCCTTCCTCTGAAGTCCCCTTAGCCATATCTGAGCTGCTAGAGGAAAGAATCTAGCAAAATGTTTATCACATCATTCCCTTTTTCTCTCTTCTTTTCTTGAGCTAGAACATTGAGATTCCAAAATATCAAGAGAGAAAAGAGAATGTTGTTTGCTGTCAGTCCTGGTAAAAAGAATGCAGGAAGGGATGCAAGAAAAGATGAAAGAGAAATGAGGTGAATGACTAATGGGGGAATGATGCAGGAAGAAGTAGAGACCAGGTTAAGAATAGCACACAAGTGGGGGAAGAGAGTAGATGGAGGTCTGGGAAAGGGAGCAGCAGTAAAGATGGGGCCACAGAATGGGATGGAGATCTGGGGAAGGAAGATGAACATGCCCTGGTGTTTGACTGCCTGGAAGCACAGCAAGAAGTTAACAGGCTGCAGGGGAATAGTGACATTCCAAGAGAGGAGGTAGTTTCATGGCTATAGTCTGGCTCTTCACCCTCCATCCTCTTGAGTTTTGGATACTCAAGAACTGGCAGGCTTAACCTTTAGTCAGAAGTACTCCTGACAAATGCATCAGAGGACTATGGTTCTTTGTGCCTCTTGGCAATGATGGTGCTGAACTGTGGAAGGCAGGAATTCTGTGAATGGTGGGATAAAGAGGAAATCTTCTAGTGCTGGTCCAAGTGCAGCCTCAGTACAGGGAACTCCTGGCTTTTTTATCCCTTCCTCTTGCACTGGCACCCCCAATGTTGGGGATGGAGCCAAGGGAGCCCAGCCAATGAGCTGGTGTTCACGCCAGCCTGGTACATATGTGAGGGGGTGGGGGACACTCTACATCCCTGAGAGATCAGAACATGCTGTACAGAAAGAGCCTCCCTGGCATGGATCAGGACAGATGCCAGGAAACGGAGTGGGCAGGGAGCCGGAATCATTGCTACTCAGTGCTAGGTAGTAGTAACCAACCCCTTAACTCTTGTTGCTTCACTTTTGGCCATAATAGAGAAGAACAAACTTCCCTCTGTCTATTGGCATCATACTCCCATCAAGGGTATCTCTCAGCTCACCCACATCCAAATGCAACATTCCTGGATGCTCTTAGCCCACACTGTTCTCTAAACATGTTGCTGAGCCAAGGCTAGCTCTTCCATTCCTTCTGCCTCTACCATGACTGCTTCTTTCCTTTGCTTATTCTCTCTCTGCTATTGCAAGGCCCTCTCAGATTCTCCCTTCATCCAATTTCTCCCTTCATTCAAGGATCTTTACTCTGACAATACCACATCTGTTCAGTCCACAGTGATACCTGGTCTTCAAGCTCTTATTGCTCTTCTAGTTAAAGCTACCCAGTTTAGTGTGTAGGTGATTTCTAATTGTTTCACTTGAGTTGGTCTTGTTGATTTCCAATGATTGCAATTTCCTGAACAGAAATCTTGCTTTCCATTTTTTCTGATGGCTTCATAGTGCTTGGTCCCAAATAAGGATCCAGTTAATGCTCTTTGGTTAATAAAATAAACACAGGCCCCCTCCTCCCAATTTGCTCTGCAAGCTCCTGGGGAAAGTGTAACAACCAAGGAAATCTCTGCTTCTTCTAGATGATATTCTTCTCAAGGGCAGGGAACAGGTCTCATCTCCTTTCACCAGGTGGAAGAAAGAATACAGAAATAGGAGCAAGAGGGGTGTTTCCTTCTTTTGTATTTATGGGAGGTTGTGCTTTGTTGGCTCTCCCTTAGGAAACCAGATCAGAGTTATTTTTTCAGAATGTTACTAAGCAAGTGGAGCCCTCCTCGCTTGCCTTTTCTGGCTCCTCTTCCTGCTGCTGTTTCTCACCATGGGCATCCCCCAGGCTCTGATTCTGCCTTCTGCTTTTCTCTTTCAGTCTTCTTGCACAGATTGCTCCTGCTCTCAAGGCTTCTGTTACTGCCTAACTTACATCTTCAGCTGTGATCTCCCTCCAGACTTGTCTGCATTTCTAACTGCCTGTTGATTGATATTTTTCCTGCATATCCTATGGTCTTATCTAGATCTTGATGTCCAGCTCCAAGTTCATCCGGCCAGCCCCATTGCCTGTACACTCTGACTGCTTTCCTGATTTCCTAGGTTGTGATAATGAAAGTACCATTCTTCTAATTGATCTTGGCATGATATTTTATTCATAATTGACTCTCATCAGCCATATTATCTGCAATTATTAACTCCGTTTTTTTTTTCCAATTCTTTCTCCAAAATGTTTCATTTTGGAAACTTCTCTCCTATTCCCCCTCTCAACATCCCTACTGGTATTAATTTCTTTTAATTGACCTCTCTGATTTCTCCTACTTCCATTTTTTTTCTAGACCCTACCATCTGATACATCAGATTAAACTTGCTTTCATTATACCAGCACTGCAGAGGCACATCAAAATATCCTATATCTCTCCTCCCAATTATAATATCCCTCAATTTCATGCTGAAGCACAGCATAATCTGATGACATGGTATTTACTAGGTGAGCAGTAGAATTTATCTTTGTTTTGGTTTCTCTCACTAAAATTTAACGATGCTTTCACTCTTTCACAGCAAAGGGAGAATGATGGATATATCATCCACAATTTACATGGCTGACTTACGTTCTGTCAAGTTTTGAACTGGTAACAAAAACAGTTTTTCTCTGAAGTTCCAAGTGCAAAGTTGTGATCTGATGGAAGAATTTTATAACCTGAGAGGGGAACATGGTTCTGTGATCCTTGGATAGTATGGGGACACTTCTATGCCCTACAACTTCCAAATTCTTCCCTTAGAAAGAGGTGTGTACCCAAATCACCAAGTTTGGATTTGACTTTTGACAAATATTAATTGGTTTGGAGGTTAAGATAGTCTACAAAATCTCTGGTCATTCTAATGAATGGATGGATACAAGGGGGCATTTGCAATAATGCACATATGGGATAGAGGACTGGATAGAGGAAATAGATTCTTTTGGGGGGAGTGAAATAGTAGACTGTGTTTGGCAGGCTGAGGATGGCCTGTCTTAAGGTACTTACTCCTCATGGTACTCTGGTTAATCCCCTGGTCTTTATATTCAGGTGTCTGGATGCATCTGGAGTTGCAACAAACCGATGTGAACTATTCTCTGCTTGAGATTGGGAGTCTGGATTCTAGATTATGTCCTTCCTTTAAGTGATTCAGCCCAATATTTCAAAGCATTTATTTTAGTAAATAATGTACCACAAGTAGCCTTGGGCACAGGACAGTGTTCACTCCTTGCTGTGGTCCTATGGCATGTAAGACAGCAGGAATGATCTAGGTTGTGAGTGAAGATAGGTTAGAAAGCGACTCATCCCTTCCCTTTCATGGCAGAAGATCATTGATGTCAGAGACAGAAACATTAAGGGGGAAATGATCTGAAAGTAAGAGTGAAACAAGGTGGCCCTGGGCACCTGCAGCTTTCTACCTCCTGAGTTTGAGTGAGATAATGAGGATGTGTTTGCTGTGCTGACAGATAGCAGAGGTTAGGATGCAACCATTTGAGGTAGGGATGGAAAGCAGTCATCTCTCACCAGGTTTAGGGGTCTGGATACCACTGCTTAGAATTGGATGATGATCACCTGAAAGTCATAGAAAATAAATTTTTAAAGAATGGTTCAGGCATTCTACAGTGTTGCCAATACAACAGCACCCCTCTTAGCCTCTAATCTCAAGATATCTCAGTGACAAAGGAATCACTTTTAAAGAGCCCAGGCCTTTTGGTAATCTGGAAATCAAGGGCAACAGTCGGTGTATTAGACTCAGAGAAGCTTCTCCTGCTGTTTCTGTCTCTCACCTTCTGCATCAGGACTTCATCTGTCACCATGGTGACCCATTCATCTGTGGATCTGGCTGACCAGCAAGAGAGGTTTTGTTGGAATGGGGTAAGTAGAGGAGAAAAAAGATGGATACAAGGGGGCATTTGCAATAATGCACATATGGGATAGAGGACTAGATAGAGGAAATAGATCCTTTTGGGGGGGTGAAATAGCAGACTGTGGTTGCAGGCAGAGGATGGCCTGATTTAAGGTACTTACTCTTCATGGTACTCTGATTAATCCCCTGGTCTTTATATTCAGGTGTCTGGATGCATCTGGAGTTGTAACAAAGTGATGTGAAAAATTCTCTGCTTGAGATTGGGAGTCTGGATTCTAGATTCTGTCCTTCCTTTAAGTGACTCAGCCCAATATTTCAAAAGCATTTATTTTTAGTAAATAATATGAAAGATCATGTACATTGAACAAGCCACAGAATTAAGAAAAGTCATAGCTGCCAAAGCCCAGAGTCCAAGGCATTCTAAGCACTACACAAACTGAACGAAGATTTGGCTTACCACTAAAGCACACCTCAACACTGTACTATTGCTTCAATATAACAGTGTGTTTTTGTTTTCCATTTCAACCAAAGCGAGGCATGAGGTCTTTTATTGATCTAAACTGTGAACTATAGTTTTACCATTCTCCCAGGGCTAGAAGATCTGCCTCCATTTCCTTAGGTTTTGTTGCTGAAAATATCTTACATATATTTGTTATTATATCCACAGGCTATTAATTCTCTGTTCCTTCTCTTGATCTCTTTTCCCCATTCTATTCTCTAAATACCAGTGTTCCATAAGGTGGAGGTGAAGATGTAGGCTCTACCTTCTAGCTAAATCTGTATCTCTAGCTTGGTCTATCTGGTGTATAGGGTTAGATTTTAAACTTCTTATGCATATCTTGAAATTTCTGTGTTTAACCTAAACTATTATGTCTTTTAATTTTTTTTTATTTTATTGATTTGCCATGACTCGCTAAACTATACACATTTCGGGGGTACATCATCGCCTCTTTGTATGGTTAAAACTCACCTCATCCACTACCTAAGTTCTAGAGCTCTTCCATGACAAGCTGATATTTTCAGTATTTTTTTTAATAAATGCATTTATTTATTTATTTATTTATTTTCTGAAGATTTATTTATTTATTTATACAAGCACTGGGTACAGTCAGAAGCGCGGGAGGGTGAGAGAATTCACCAGAGCCAGAGCGGGGAGCAGAGCAGGCAGAAGGACCAAAGTACACTGCTGAGGGGAGCAGCGGGTAGCAGGAGGGGTCTGCGCGCCATGTGGGACCCTCCTCTGGTGGCCGGGGAGCAGCCGGGGATCGAACAGGCGCTGCAGAGGCTGCGGGCAGCTTCACAACCCAGCGCTCAACCGCTATGCCACCGGGGAGGCCAGCATTTATTTATTTTTAATTGAGGTATCATTAGGATATCTCATCAGTTGGATACTGTCCATGACTATTTAGAGTCTGGTCTGAATGAAGGCTATGATGTAATGATTCCATTACCTCTCCCCATCAGGTATCACCACCATATGTCCCCCAACACTGAATCACCCATGGTCCACCATCATAGTTCATTGTGCTTTCTTCCCTCTTTTATTGCCCTTCCCACTCTGGATCCCCTCTCTGGATGCTTTAGTTCTATAATCAGCATTCAAGGGGTAGTTTTTAAGCTTGTCTTTATCTGACTTAGTTTGCAAACCAATATGTCTTAAAATGAGTTCATTTTACTAATGTTCAAGCTTCTGTCCATGGTACTAATGTTCTATGGGCTTGGAATGTGAGATTTCAAACATCATCACCATCTCTCTCTCTCATTCTCCCTGAATCCCCAAATCCTGTGCCATCTCCTAAGTCCCACATTATATGTTTTTGTCCATATTTCTCTTATGCTCTCCAGTCATTTCTAAGACAAAGAATCCCATGCCATTAGAATCATTGTGTCATTCCTTTCATTCAGACCAGACTCTAAATAGTCATGGATAGTATCCAATTGCAGTGTGAATTTGGGCGGTAGGCCAGAATTTCTTGTATGAAAATACTCTCAGTTCCCAAGACAGAATATTAAATTATATCCAGGGAAGAAATGATTTGCCTGTTGTAAAATAAGTTCTACTCTGGACCTGGATTTAAACAAGAGAGACTCCAGGAAGGATGCTAAATAATTTTTTCTCTGCTTGTCCTCAGAGGGAAGTAGTAAACTACAGTATCATTGGTTAACTGCTGCTAAGTTTCAGTTAGTTAGCAGTAAGGCAGCATCACAGAAGCAGTTCCAAAAAAAGAGAGAACCTTAGTTGAATGGAGAATAGTACTTCTAATCTTCCTCCTCAGAGTCTAGGTGTCATCAGGAAAGGGGGATACTTTACATCAGTTAATAATTGCTGGCAACTAATTGTGTTTCAGAAACTGTGTTAAACACATCCACACAAAATTTTTAAAAATGTATCTTCACAGTGATCTTCAATTGAATACATAGTATTGGACTCTCATTCTCTAGACAGTGTGAAACTCGTCAACACACTCTTTTCAGGAGTTCTTATAATCTTTTGTTGATGAGTTTGCATATATGACAAATGTCTTGAATTTGGATATTTTTCTTATAAGTGCAGTACTTTTCCTATTGTCTTAGTCTTATTTAAAATTTCTTGCTAACATGTGTTTTTTTCCTACCTTGACATTAAAGTGGGAAAAATTAAAGTATAAAGATGAAAATAAAACTACCCTAAAATATAACACTGACATTTTATTAATCTCCTTTTGTTTTTCTCCCCTTATAAATGACTACATGTGCATACATGCACACACACACTCCAACAATGTTTCAATGAATAGCCTTTTGCTTTTTTTCATTTTGCACAAGTGAGAAGCTATTGCAGTTCTTAAAATGGAGAGAAATATGGTGATCTGATCCTCATACTTGTGCAAATGAAAAATATGTGAGGTTACTCATTGCAACATTTTAATAGTAGTAAAAGAAACAATCTAAAGGTTCATACTTATATACACATGGATAAATATATAGTTTCTCCTTCCATAAGCATGCTACATATGCTACTTTAATGTCAATTTTATATGAAATGAAAAACATATCTTGATTATATTTCCATGATTTGAAATATTATTTGACATACTGTATATGGTTTCATAATAATCCTTTCTAAAGAACAGTCTTGCATATTTCTCTATGTAATTTAACCTAATATGTTTATTTAATGTGAATATTTGAGCACCACCCTATTATTATAGTGTATTTATAGAGTGTTTAAAAGTTCAATAATGTTACATCAAACTACCTTGAACATAAATCTTTGTCTCATTTCCTTAGGCTAATGACAAAAAGGTGGTGTTTTAGGTCAACACATGCCAATTACTTGGCAATATGATGAAGTGGATTGATAGATTTCCTTATATCAAACCACTCATTATTCCTCGGAAATGACCTATTAAATCTTGGTGTCTTATTCTCTCATTCTAACACTGTATTCTATTTGAATAAATTATTTGACTTGCATATATTCATAAAGAAAATTTGTATTTTTTTCTGCTACCATTATAAGATTTTTTATATCAAAGTAATGATTTTGTAAAGTCAAGTGGATAGCATCACATCTTCCTGAATGTCATGAAACAATTAATACAGCATGTGAAATATCCATTCTTTGGAAGTTTGAAGGGCTGAAACAATAAAAATGCCCAGTGTCTTCTGGGGAGTCTGTCCATTAGCATCACGCCAGGTGTTTGGCTTGTTATTTCACTCACTGTGCAACAAATTCCGGAGGTAGTATTATTATCATCAGTTTCAAGTTAAAGAAACTTAGGCTTGGCGAGGTTAAATAATTTTCCCAATAGGTGAATCTGGGATTAAAAACCCAGGTCCACATTTTTACCCATTATGTACATGTGGCAATATTTTCTTTGCATATTGAGTCATCCAAGTTTTCTAACTCTGAACTTAATTAGTCATTTTAAGCTTTATTAGCTCTAAGCCATTACTTCCTTCAAAAAGAAAAGCAAACCTTTCTATATGAAATGGGATCCTTGTTCTTATTTAATTTTCTGTGTTAATATTTTCTGGATTGGCAATTTATTCATTTATTATTCTTTTCCAAAAATCTACTTCTTATACATATCATATTGTTTGTTTGTTTTGTCTTCAGCTCACTATGTCTTTACATTGTTTATTCCTGCCTCTAAATTTTATTTGGTTTGATTTATTATTGTTTTCTAATTTGGGGGTCTGTTTAGTTCTTTTATTTTCACTGTTTTCTGTTAAAAATACAATGCTTTTAGCCCTGATTTTTTCCCCGGCACTATCCCATGAGTGTCAATATGTGATGTTTTTATTGTTGTTATGTCCAAAATGAAATGTAATTGCAGTTTTGATTTTCTATTTGACCCAAGAGCTGTTTAATAGAATATTGGTAAATTTCAGTGTTTGTGTTTGTTGATATGACCTTTTGCTATTAATTTTCTATTTTATTTTATTGTGGACGGAGAACAGGGCCTATACGATTTCTGCTTTTGGGGATTTACTGAGATCGCCTTTGTGTGCTAACATATATTCATTTTTGTTAATGTTTTGTGAGTACTTAGAGAGAAAGTGTATTTTCTTTTTGTAGAGTATAAAACTGACAAATTTATTAAATAAAACTCAAGGATTACATTATTGAATTCCTCTCTATACTAATTCATCCTTTACCTACTTAATCTGTCATGACCGAGGTGGCTATATTGAAGTCTCCTTCTGTAGTGTTCCTGTC